CAATTGACACGTGTGTCCTCCAAGTGTCCAATGAGTGTCCGGGTCTTTAAAAATATTTAAAAAATAGGACACGTTTTGAAGAGTATCGGACACGTGTCCAAAGAGTGTCCAAAGAGTGTCGGTGTCCGACACGGATACGACACGGATACGTCACCTTCTTAGAAGTGTCCGTGCTTCTTAGGCTGAAACAAAACCTCATGTGGTTAAGGAAGATGTGTTGCCCAAGTCTATTACTACCATGAAACTAAATGGTTTGAATTATTTGGCTTGAGCTCATGTAACAAAAAAAATTTTGCGTAGTAAGATAAAATTCGGCTTTCTTATTGAAGTTCCTCCTGCTACCAATAATAAAGCCTATGATGACTGGTGTAGTGACGATTCTTGTCTTATGGGATGGATCTGGCATAGCATGGAACCCAATGTTGCTATTACTGTGGAATTTTGTGACACCTCCAAGGAGATTTGAGACTCCCTTGCAGAGTCATTTTTTAGTCAGAGTAATGTCTCCTGGGTCTATGAGTTATATGAGCAAATCTCTGCTGCTCAACAATTTGGTCGTTCTCTACCATATTATAATGACCTTCAGAACTAGTGGGATTAATTATTGCAGCACAGATCTTTTACTACTGATGTGGCACAACAAAAGCGCCATTGGAAGGAGTTTATGATGGCCTTTTTACTCGTTGATGGAGGCAAATCAAGAAATGGATTTCATTATAGAGAAAATCCCAAAATAGGTACAAGAGCTCTCAAGCTCTGAAATATTCCATATCAAATTATCATAAAACTGAATACTAGAGGGACCTAACCACCTATTTATAGGATAAAGGCCCAACTAACCCTAACTAACTCTTATAGTACCAAAAAATAACTACCATACTAATTCTAATTACATCACTCGTGGGCTTAGATTTTGACTTAAGGGGTTTCAAAGATCAAATCCTTGCTAGTGAAACATTACCTTCCGTTGCTGATGCCTATTCACGGTTGAGTTCTTCTTTGGGACAAGGTCAACCCTCATCTGGTTCTACCTCTCAGACCTTGTCCTCTTCTGCATTGATCTCTAGCAGTGGCGACCGTGGGCCTACCTGTGGGAGTTTTCATGGCCAATCTAGTTATCGTGGCTCATATACTAGTTTCCATTGTTCACATGGTGGTCGTTCTTCTCATGGTTCTCGTGGTGGTAGTGGGTGTCAAAATGGTTCTGCGTCCCGTGGTGATTAGAGTGTACTCATTGTGGTTCCTTAGGCCATTCTGAGCCTTGGTGTTGGCAGAAGTATGGTAAACCTGATCATATGAATCAAGTTATAGATGTTCCATCATCTTAGTCAACATCTTTTCCCTCTGGCACAGTTGCTTCCTCAGCTAATTCTCATGATGCACTCACCACTCAGATTAGTGAGCTTATTGAGCTAGTCCAGTCTCTTCGTACTGCCCTCCATCCATCCTTTACAGCTACATTGGCTAGTTCAGGTAATATTGCATGTATGGCTCAATTGTAACACCCAAAATAATGCCACGTATCACAATCATATTATTATCTACCCTTGAATGTCTTTAAGTCAAATTAGCAATATCATTATATAGAATACTTAAAATAAAGCATAGAAACGAGTAGTGAGAAAGCCTTGAAGAAGAGTGCCTAAGAAAAAGGAACTTAAGGACACTTATGATTGATGAAAAACTTAAGACAGCTTAGAAATAGAACCTTAGTGTGAAAGTTGATAAATGACATGGAGTTAGGGAATTGATTTTGAAATGAATATTGACTACTTAAATGGTTCAGGAAACCCTAAGTGAGGAGCTTAATGATCTTAGTCTAACAAGTAGAGTTTAATGAGTACTTGATTAAAAATTAAGAGAGATTAGCAAATGTTAAGTAAGATTAATTAAGGCCTAAGTGAGAATAATTAGGCTAATTAAGATTAGGAACTAAGCATGATTAATTAGGACAAGTATGGTTAATTAGAACTAAACTTGGTTAATTAAGCTAATGGGACAATTAGCGAAACACTTAAGCTAATCAATTCTCATCAACAAAAGAGAAGAATAGAGAAGAAATGAGCAGTTGTAGGATCATTCTTGTGTTCTTGAGAGAGAGAGGAGCTAGAGAAGAGAAAATAAGGAGAAAGGAAGAGAAATCATGGAGCTTCAAGATTTAAGCTTGGAAAATCAAGGAAAAACCATTTCTTTGTAAGAAATCCTACCCTCTATCTTTTGTTATTGTTATAAGCTAGCTAGAAAATCACTTAGAATAGATTTTGAAGGATTAAAGTAGGAGTTTTGTAGTGAGTTAAGGAAAAAGAAAATAGTCTTGAAGATTTGCAAAGAAAAATCATGTTTTGATTTGATTAAGTTTAGGATTCATTGCATATAAATGTTTATCTATGAAATACACATCATCAATTCATGTGTTGAAGTCTTAAACATCATGCTTTGAAGGATTGAAATGAAGGAAATGAAGAAAGGTTTGAAAAGAAACTAAGTTGAGAAGGTCTTGAATTAAAACATGTTTTTGGTTGGATGAATCTTGAATTCATGCATTCAAATGAGTTTTCATGGATCATACATCATTTATTTATGTTTTGGTACATCATACGTCAAGTTTTGAGGCTTTAGAATGAAGAAAAATGAGTTAGAACACCAAGAACACGCGCCAACCCAGCATTTTGCTCGTTCGGCGCTCAAGCAGCCACCATTGGGCGCACGAGCGAGCAGAAACCAATCTGCCTCTCCCTGAGCCACCGCTCGAGCGGTCTAGGACACCACTCAAGCAGCCAAGCCACCGCAAGTGCGGCCAAGGCTGGCGCACGTGCGGCACCCCTATTTCAGCCCAACTTCAAATGGACATATCCCTCTCATCCAAACTCGGTTTTAAGCGATTCTTGAGTCTAAATTCAAGCCCCGAAAGTCTAGTTTCTAATGGTGGTGGTCTCACATCCAAATTCGATGTATACAAAGAGATATGTTTAAAATAGTGAAGGCTACTCACTTTCTTTTTACACATTGCATTCTAACTCCTTTCCTAACTTAGTTTTCTTTCATTTCTTCATATTTCCTTTTACTTGAAACATCTAAGCATAATATTTTCTAATACAAAACATATGACATTGTTGTGGAATACTTGAAGCCCTTCAACGTACGTCTTTGGCACACTTCAATATTCATCAAGCCTTAATCACCTAGGATGCTTCTAGGCATGCATTTGACACTTGTTTGACACTTGATTTAGACTTGGAATAAGCTTAGAAAGACCTTGAACAATCTAAGAAATTGATTAAGAAATATTAAGGTAAGTTTAGATACTAGAATTGAAGTAGGAGTTTGTAAATTGAATTGTGTTCAATGTCTTGTTCATGTTCTATGCAGGTCAATCATTTGGAGGAAGAAAACACCCTTGGTTCAAGAGCCATTTGTGAGTAGTAGTATAGTAAAGTTATGTTTGTTAAACCATGATTTGAAATGCAAAACCTATGCCATGTTTATGAAAGTTATATTAATGTTTTGCCATGAATGCACGTTCTATACTCTTGTATCATGTACTAAGATGATACCTTGGATCTTGTTTTGTTATTAGGAAATCATGCCAATAACCTCCAGATAACTGAGCTCTTCTTGTTAGCATATTATATTAAGTGTTAGCATATTATATTGGCCGAAAGGTACACTAGGGTCTGTCTGTAATCATTTTATGCACTCAGGGATAGCACTCAGGGATCATCTTGTCATTGCCTTTCTTGTAAACCCTAATCTTCATTTATAAATAGGGGGTGATATTCTATCATTCCCCAAGCTGGTTACCCAAGCTTCACTTCTTACCACCTGTTGTGGACTCTTGATTCGAAAGCCTTGGAATGTTCATTGCTATGTATATGCTTCCAATTAGAAGTCGGGCTTGTGTGCTTGTTCTGGTTTTGTAAGGTTATGTCATAAATGTTGTATTTTATTTTATTGTTTAAGTGATGTAACAATGCAGATAACAATCCAAGGAGAATGTATGCTTTCATTTCATATAGCTATGCACTGCTCTGAATGCATGTTTCAAATCAATATAAGCAAATAATGGCTTCCGCACTCAAAATTTGGAAATTTGCCCCAATTATCATAAGAGTCTAACTTGTTTTAAAAGTTAGGCCTTTGGTAGTCCACGACTACTAGCTGATCACTACACTATCTTGTTTGGGGCGGGATGGGGTCGTGACATCAATGTCCCCAACCTTGGCTCATATACTCTCTCTAGTAATTCATCTCTTTTTAATACTCTTTGCCGTTACGCATAATATTATACTAGCGGATGGATCATCTCAACCTATTAGTGGCAAGGATATTCTCTAGCCCACCACATCTCTGTCCTTACCCTCTAGTCTCTATGTTCCTACTTTTCCATTTGATTTACTTTCTGTTAGTCGATTGACTAAAGTTCTTCACTTTTCCATAATTTTTTCTCCCACTGTGTTTTGTAAGACCTCCAGGCCAAGAGGATGATTCTATGAAACACGGACACCTCTCTGGAGGCAGCGTATAGGTGTCCAACACGTGTTGGACACGGACACGCAATGGACACGTGTCAGACACTACCTAACGTGTCCCCCCCCTCCCTTTTTTTTTTAATTTTTCCAACCGGACACGCTTGAGGGATACTCTTGGACACGTGGACACGTTAGAGACAGAGAGAGAAACCCTAACCCGTTGAATACAGAGAGAGAGAAAGGGTAAAGAAAAACCTGTTGAAGCCCTAGATCGAGGTAGGTTCTTCAAATCTGTTTGTTTCTTCAAATTTGTTCTTCATTCTTCTTCTTTTCTTCTTTTCTCTTCGTTTTTCTTCTTCTTTCTTTGTTTTTCTTCTTCTTTTGCTCATCTCTCTGTGTGTCTGTGTGTTCGTCTCTCTCTCTCTCTATCTAGCTCTCGCTATGTGTTCAACTCATCGACTCTGTCTCTCGCTTGTGTTCAACTCTCTTCTTCTCTACGTGTTCAACTCTCTCTCCTCTGTTCTATTCGTGTTTTTTTTTTTTTATCTCCCTCTCTTCTAACGTGTATGTCCCCTTTATATATATATATATATATTTTAACAAAAACCTTTTTTTCCCCTTTCCTTTTTTTTCTATTTTTTGGGTATTCTTATTTGCTCAACCTGAACATACATAGAATAAATTATTTTTATTTGTAAAAAAATTAATTTGTAAATGATATTTGATATTAAAGTAAATAAAATTATATATATTAAGCGTGTCTCCAGCGTATCGTGTCCTCCATTTTTTGAAAATTTGCATGTCTGCATGTCCGTGTCCATGCCTCATAGGGATGATTAGTTCAAGGAATGAGAAAGATGGCTTATATTTTCAAACACTAATAGCCCTCCTCGTCCTACTTCTGTTGTTTTGAGTGCTACCATATCTCCTCTGCAATGGCATTTTTGCTTGTCTCAACTTGAGTGTGATGCTTGTCAGTTTGGAAAGCATCACCGTAGTTCCTTTCCTAATCATAGTGTTAGTCGTGTGTCCGCGTCTTTTGATGTAATCCACATAGACATATGGGTCCCTCTCAAACTCCCACTGTTGATGACTTTTTTTATTTTTTTATTTTTGTGGATGATTACTCTCGGATGACTTGGTTATTTTTACTACAGCAAATGTCTGAATTACCCCAAGTCATTTATAAGTTTTATAATGAAATCTTTACTCAATTTGAGAAACATATTTAAATATTTTGTCTAATAATAGTTCAGAATATGTGCAGCCTACTGTGAATATTTTTTGTGATGGTCATAGTATTGTTCATCAAACTAGTTGTGCTCGTACCTCACCCCAAAATAGTATTCTTGAGCAGAAATACCGCCATTTGTTAAATGTTGCTCGCACATTGTTGTTTAACATGCACGTTCCTAAATAGTTTTGGGGTGATTTTGTGCTCACTATCCACCGTCTTATTTTAACTACATGCCTTCAGTTGTGTTACAGAACCAATTTTCTTCATCTCAGTTATACCTCGATTGTTCCCCGTTTCCTCTTTCTTCTCGTATTTTCGGTTGTGTGGCCTTTGTCTATGTCCTTGATCTGGACCTAGATAAGCTATCTCCTCGCGCTTGCAAGTGTGTGTTTTTAGGTAATTCCCGTACTCAAAATTGTTATCGATGTTATCACCATGAGTTAGTTCTTTGTCAATGTTGATGTTACCTTTTTTGAGTCCACCCCTTATTTGTTATCGATGTTATCACCATGAGTCAGTTCTTTGTCAATGTTGATGTTACCTTTTTTGAGTCCACCCCTTATTTTTCTCTATCTGGGCAATAGTTGTCCGCTAATCTTATATCTTGTCGTGAAAGGGAGCCATTCTTTCCCACACCTCTTCTCGTGCCTTGTGTCCTCTCGTCCTCTGTCTCACCCAACACCAATGTAGATCCCTCTCATTTGCCTCCATCTTCTCTCCATGTTAATCAGTGATCTCAGGCTCGTGACATTATTTCTTATGGCCCGAATAGTTCACCTTCTTTGTCAGAGGCTCCTGCACCTCCTACCATAGTGACATCCGATGATCTCCCCCATTGCTTGGCGTTGAGGTAAATGCACTTGCACACAACATCCCATTGCCCGTTTTGTTTCGTGTGATCGTCTTTCCACTAGCCTTCACTCATTTGCTTGTAACTTGTCTTTCCATTCCATCTTACGAGCAGGTTATGTCCATGTTAGGTTGGAAGCATGCTATGGATGAGGAAATGAGTGCTCTTCATCAGAATCAGACTTGGGAACTTACTCCTTTGCCTTCTACAAAACCTATTGTCAATTGTCATTGGATTTATACTGTCAAGTATCTTCCTGATGGTTCTGTTAAGAGGCTTAAAGCCCGCGTGGTGGCCAAAGGCTACACATAAACCTATAGTGTTGATTATTTAGAAACCTTCTCCCCTATGGCTCACCTTAACTTTGGTCAAATTCTACTCTCTGTTGTCGTCAGTTAGTCTTGGCCTTTATATCAGCATGATATAAAGAATGGCTTCTTCATAGCGATCTCTAAGAGGAGGTCTATATGGATCAGCCGCCTGGCTATGCTATTCTCGATACTGTGAATTTGGTTTATCGGTTGCCGAAGGCCTTGTATGGTCTCAAATAGGGTTGTCAATGGATCAGATTTGATCCTAATCTAACCCGAATCCGATCCGAAAATCCGAATTCATTTACAAAAAATCCGATCCGGCAATCCAATAATTCGAATGCGTTTAATCCGTTTATTAAACAGATCGAATATGAAAAATCCAATCCGATCTGATAAGATAATCCAATAATCTGATCCAATTATTCTCAATTTGAATGAAGAAAACACAAAATGAAAAAAAAAAAAAAAAAATCAAATTATCTAAAATTGTAGCTCAATAAATAAATAAATTAATCGGATCAGATCGGATTATCGGATCAAATATCCGAAATTATCGAATTCAGATTCGGGTGATCTATTATCAAATATGGGCTAAACAGATTCGGATCGGATTCGGGTTTGTCTTAATCAGATCGGATTCAAATTTTGACAGATCCAATCCAAATCCGATCCATTTACAGGCCTAATCTCAAGCATTCTCCTCATGGTTGGTTTAATCGCTTCAATGCAGTTGTGCTTGCATATGGATTCCGCCATTCTCCATTTGATCATTCTATTTTTGTTCACCACTCATCTACTGGAAATATTGTTGTTCTCATTGTCTATATAGATGACATCATCATTTCTGGCATTGACACCACCGGTATTGCTAACTTAAAACAATATTTAGGTTAGCACTTTCACACTAAGGACTTGATTCATCTTCGCTATTTTCTTAGAATTGAGATTGCTTAGTCTTCTCGGGATTTGTTTCTCTCGCAACGTAAGTATGTGCTTGATCTTCTCTCTAAGGCTAGCCTCTTAGGTACTCACCCGAGTGATACTCCCATGGACTCCGGTGTTAAACTTGATGGTGACACCGAGGACATGTTTCCTAATAAAGAGACATATCTATATCGTATCTATATCGGATACCGATACTCTTTGGATTCTCCCATGGACTCTTGTGTTAAACTTGATGGTGACAAACGCGTTTCTTAATACAGCTATGCATGGATACTTTTAAAAGAGAGACGTATCCATATCGTATCTATATTGGATACCAATACTCTTTGGATACTCACAGATACGTATCGAATAATATTAAAATTATCGAATACTTCTTAATTAATTTTTGAAGTATTGGATACTCCAAGTCACATATTACTTCTTTTACAAAATAAGAATTGTAGCATTTCTTAGTATTATAATATAATATAATTGCAAGGATAAATGTAAGAATATTTTTACAATATTTTGCATAGTTCTTTGATAATAAGAACATAGTGAGTTAAAGTAATAAAATTTGTCAAATTGACGTGTCCTTATTGCATCATGCACCCTTATAACTACATAGAAAGTACAAATTACCAAGAGAATACAACAATAGTAAAATTAAATATAAATAATAAATAAATAAGCAAGCAAAACATACGACATTTTTGACTAATGCAAAAGGAAAAAGCATAGGGATAAGCTGTGGATTGTTATATTATTATAAATTTGTAATATAAACATATTAAACTTGATATTGAAAAATTAAAAATTGTAAAGTAAACTAGCTATTGGCTTAAATTAATACTTAATGCTTAAAGATTAGTATTTTGTATCATTATAGTGTGATTTCTCTTGAGCTTATGTTCTAACTCACTACTAATAATTCTAAAAAAAAAAAAAAAATTTACAAGCACATCCTAACCGTACTCATATCTTTTTTAGGGGGTTTTGTCTTATTCCATATCTATATTGTATTGTATCATATCCGTATCTCGTATCCATATCCGTGCTTCCTATATTTAAAAATACACCTGCTTTCACTCCCAAACATCATTTTCGTCATTATAGAAAAATTTCAGAAAAAGATAAGAAGCATTCTAAAGTTTACCCCAAAAAAGGAGAGATAAATTTCATCTAATAATTTTTCAAGCGTAACATAAGATCCAGTGAACTATAGGTCTAAATAGCTCATGATCATTATACTCTCCAACAGAATTTTAGTTTACAACTATTCAGCAATCTAGTTACGACAAAAATTGTAAAAGCTTATGACCTAAAAATATGCATGCTAAGAAAGCACTTGTTTATTTGCCTAAGAAGACAAAACCTTATAGAGATTTAGATGACCAATTAGGAACAAAAAATCCATACTAGCTCCTAACTCCGAAGCACGGACATTTGTCATATCCACACTTCAGCGACACTTCTTGAACACTCTGAACACAACATATATGATGAATCTCTTCATAGTAACAATGTTTTGCATTTTTTCGGAATGCAACTTGTGTAGTCTAAATACGTTTTGCAGCATTTATAAGATGAATATATCATGTGTTGTGTATCTCAATGTTCTACAATTGTTTTGCATTTTTTAAAATGCAATCTTGTTATTTTTTGTTTTCATTACCTTTAAAAAAACTATTCATATATTTGATATGTAACAAATATATAAAAATATAATTATTTAATGTGTCCCAAGCATGTTGTGTCCAACAATTTTCGAAATTTGTCGTGTCACTCACCATATTCATGTCAATGATGTGCTACTTGAGTTCCTAATGTTGGCTTATTATAACCTGAGAGTAGTAACTTGAGGACGTGGGCAAAGAAGAAGAAAAATATGAGGAAAGGTGAAAAGGTGTTTCACCCTTGTAATGATTTAACAAATTTACTCAAAACACAATCTTAAATTCTCATAACTCAACTCCTATTGAAAATAAGATTTACAACTAAATTTATAAGTTACTAGACTTTTACAAGAAGGACCCCAATTTCACGATTAGAAAGTTAAGAAACTTTGACCAACTAGAAAATTTTAGAACTAATAACACAATTGAACTCCATGGAAGACCCAATAACATAATTTAATCCATAAGAACACTCATGGGCTACCCCTACAGCTCATATCCAATAATTATCAAAATACCCTAACTAAAACTGAATAAAAAGCCATTAAATTTGTCCAGAAGCATTCTAATGTCTAAATATATAAAACAAAACTCAAACTAACCCAAAAGATGATTACATAAAGTCCGAGGTGCAATCCTTGTGAACTTTTAGATTTTCCTTTTTCTTCTTTCCATGTTCGTCATCATATTATCTACAACGGATCACCTAATTTGTTTGTGTAGAGCAGCTCTCCTCTTGAAAATGCTTGCTAGCTCAACTAGTCAAGTTATAGCAGGTTGTACCACAGACAATGGTTCAACCACAGTAGAAGCTACATTTCTATTGGGTGACATGCTCAAATTATTCAACTTGCACCTTTCTCATTTTTATTTTAAGTGAGTTACTTGCACCTTCTCTTGACCCTTGTCAATTTGTCCAGAAGCATTCTAATGTCTAAATATATAAAACAAAACTCAAACTAACCCAAAAGATGATTACATAAAGTCCGAGGTGCAATCCTTGTGAACTTAGATTTTCCTTTTTCTTCTTTCCATGTTCGTCATCATATTATCTACAACGGATCACCTAATTTGTTTGTGTAGAGCAGCTCTCCTCTTGAAAATGCTTGCTAGCTCAACTAGTCAAGTTATAGCAGGTTGTACCACAGCCAATGGTTCAACCACAGTAGAAGCTACATTTCTATTGGGTGACATGCTCAAATTATTCAACTTGCACCTTTCTCATTTTTATTTTAAGTGAGTTACTTGCACCTTCTCTTGATCCTTGTCAATTCCCATTTGGCTGAACTCT